CCACAGAGTGGGGAGGTTCCCCTGGGAAGGGTCTACGTGAGGGACCCTGACGACTGGGACGCTGCTGCCAAGACCTACGCCTGGAGAACTATGCCTCACCCCAGTTTCACCCTCAACGCCACCACCGGCACCCTCGCCATGATGCCCAACACCCAGGACGGCAGGTGCGACCCCAGGGTACCCGGGGCACACACACGCAGGGAGAGAAAGGAATTTGGAGTCCTGGGTATGTGGGCAGGAGTGTTAGAAGGGAGTTATAGGTACGTGCGCATTGAGAAGACAAAGAACTTTATTCGTGGATCCAAAAAACAGAGTGTAAGAGAGTATAATGGCACCAACATTCTTCTATGGATGTGAAGCATGGATTGTGAACGTTGCAAAGAGGATCAAGTAGTAGGCAATAGAGATGTCATGTCTGAGAGCAATGTGTAGTGTAAATAATATGCAGAGAATTCGTAGAATGTAAATTAGGAGGACGTGTGGAGTTACGAAAAGTATTATTCAGAGAGCTGAGAAAGGGTTGTTGAGCTGGCTTGGACATTTAAATAGGATGGATGACTTTGAGGGCGTGTAAATTTGGGGTGGAGGGAAGGAAGGATTGGTGGGCATTCTAGGAAAAGTTGAAAGGAGAGGGAAAAGAAGTTTTAAGTACTTGGGGCTTGGGCATGCAGCAGGCTTGAGTGAGCATGTTAGACAGAAGTGATTAAAAACTAGTGGTGTTGTTGGAGTGTGGGCTTGAGTCCTGGAGATGGAAAGTACAGCACCTGCACTTTGAAGAAGGAATGAAGATGTTGGCTGGAGAGATATTTGAACCTTAATGTCAGCACACTTCTGGCTAGACAGTGGAACAGAATTCTTCCTCCATAAGCCATGCGTGTCGTAAGAGGCGACTAAAATGCCGGGAGCAAGGGGCTAGTATCCCCTTCTCTTGTATACTTTACTAAATTTAAAAAGAGAAACTTTTGTTTTTCTTTCTTTTTGGGCCACCCTGCTTCGGTGGGATACGGCCGGTTTGTTGAGAAAGAAGATATATATATATATATATATATATATATATATATATATAATATATATATATATATATATATATATATATATATATATATATATATATATATATATACAAAGAAAGATCGTAGTCAACAAGACTCGATACTGCTACTGGGGTGGGCAAGATTCCTAGGCAGCGCTCTTGTTCCTGCGTGGTGCATTGATATATAAATCGCTTGAGAGATCAGAACATACAAGAGGATATTGAAATAGCTTGAATAGATGGGGTTGTAAGAGAAGTAAATGCGAGGGTCTTGGCAAGAGGCGTGGAGTTAAAAGATAAAGAATCACACATAAAGTGGGAGTTGTCACAGTTGCTCTTTGCTGATGACACTGTACTCTTGTGAGATTCTGAAGAGAAGTTGCAGAGATTGGTGGATGAATTTGGTAGGGAGTGCAAAAGAAGAAAATTGAAAGTGAAAGTGTTGAATATATATGTCGTGCCGAATAGCTAAAACCTGCGATTTTTGGCTTAAATACCAACGCTCTTCTTGCCGAATAAGGCAAGCGAAAATTTGTGTATGCAATAATTTCGCAAAAATCATTCTGAACCTAACGAGAAAAATATATTTCATTGTGTTTGTTTATTATTAGATTTTTGTAAACTTATCTAAAGTATTTTTAGTTGGATTAGGCTAAATTAAAATGCGATTGTTATAATAAGGGTAGGTAAATTTTCTAAGGTTCTTTTGGTGCAAAATTATTAATTTTTACATCAACATAAATAAAAAAATATATCTTTAAACGTATAAGAGAATTTTAGAAAAGGCTTAATTTTAAATGAGTTCTTGCTAACTGACCAGTTTTACCTATTCGGTACGACAGTCATATAAACGTATTTCCTATCTTTTCTCACATATCCCCAAACCACATTCATCTACCCATCTCCTATCAAGACTGAAGGACTGATTCCCTCAAAATTACTTGATCTACTGCTAAAGTTAATTTCGCATGTATTCGACTGAAGAAACCTCCTGAGCGAGACCTGTCCGGCAATAAAGATACCCAGGTGTTGCCCATGTATTTTATTCATCAACCTGTGTATTGTAAACCATTACCAATATGATGCATCACCGGTTAGCCGGACTTGAGTCCTGGAGGTGGGAAGTACAGCGCCTGCGCTCTGAAGGAGGGGCGTTGATATACTGTAGTTTTTAAACTGTAGTGTTGGCGCGCCTCTGGCAAGACAGTGATGAAGTGAACGATGATGAAAGTGTTTTTTCTTTTTCGGGTCACCCTGCCTAAGTGGGTAACTGCCGATGTGTTAATAAAAATCATCAATCTGTCTGTTGCATGTCTAAACTTACCTATTCTTATATAATCTGTCCATCATCAGAGATATTACGTAGGTGTTGCAGTGATTGACCTGATCTTTCTGTCTCTCCTGGTCACAGGTATGACCTGGGCTTCACCGTGAGTGACGCTAGCCAAGGTCAGACTGGGGTCAAGG